GTACACTTACAAGTATACTACTAGTACACTGATATTTGTATACTTACTACATAAAGTATACTTAAAATATACTTGAACTTTACTTAAGTATACTTACTAAAATAAACTTGAAGTATACTACTTTTTGGTAAGGGTAGTTCACCCAAAAATTAAAATTCTGTCATTAATTACTCACCCTCATTTTGTTCCAAATCCGTAACAGCTTTGTTCATCTTCAGGACACAAATTAAGGTATTTTGATGAAATCCGAGAGCTTTCTGACCCTGCATAGACAGCAAAGCAACTGAAACATTCCAAGGCGCAGAAATGTAGTAAGGAAGTCGTTAAAATAGTCCATGTGACATTGGTGGTCACATGGACCAGTGGTTCAACCTTAATTTCACAAAGCTACGAGAATACTTTTTGTGCGCAAAGAAAACAAAAATAATGATTTCATTTAACAATTCTTCTCTTCCATGTCAGTCCGCCGCTATTATAGAGAGTACCACGATGCATATGTGTGATGCTGCTGACGTAGAACGCTCTGCCTTGTTTACAAGCAGAGGAACGCACACGCATACGTAGTGGTTTGGAACAGTAATGTAATGACAGAATTATTATTTTTTGGTGAATTATGCCTTTAAATACTACCTACTTGTAGTGATCTTTCTGATAGTCAGTACTTCTGGGTTTTTCCATTGTCTCCTCCTTCAAAGAGCTGAGCCTCAATTCCTTTCAGCATTTCTGTTAAAATGGAAAGTCAGCAAACCAAATTACAAAATTCAGTAGTACCTTACATTGAAGCAAACTAAAACATACCAGTTAGGAATTCTTTTCGGAGAGCTCCATTGTCAATCCCATACTCTCCTAGGAAATTAACACTAAGTGTATTCTTTGGAGAATATTTTTTTTTGCCGTTTCCATTGTAACATGCCCCTCTCAAACAGTTCGCCTCTCGTAACACTGATGTTAAATGCAGATGTGCTGTCCACCTTGTCAGCAAGCTGTGTGATTATGTCGGATAAGCTAAAAGACCAAACAGAAAAGGCACCTATGAGCAACAAAATGCAACAAATACCTTTGTAAGAAATCTTACAGGTTAGTCAGGTGCCCTTTTGCATTTTACCTTCTACATGGTTTCTCCTCCCTTGTCTTTTCCTTGTTTTTGTCAGCACCCTCCCATTCAATCTCCTTTTCAAATTCCCCAACAAGGCTGCAGCGACAACACAAACTCTGAAGTTGCTTTAAGTGATAGAAGTTCAAAATATATTTAGTCATTAAAATTGTCACAAACCTTTCACCACAACAGCTTGCATGTATTTCAACATACTCTTTAGGATACCATTCTGAGCAAACTGGACAAGCAACCTATAAACGTGTACAGACAGGTGACACAAAGGAACATTTCAACACAAAAA